TGCAGGAGCAACATATGGCGCAACAATAGCAATAACAATAATACATAATAACAAGTAGAATATTCCATGGCTACCTCGAACAAGCATAAATACATATATATGCATATATTTATATGTATACGCATATAAGTTAACCGCAAAGTGAATATGGCGCAATCCGCGTGTTATGCCTTTCAAGTGAATGCTTTCTACATGCGCTACATACATATCTACATTGGCAATTGTTCGCTTGTCGGTGCTATTTGTGGAAAGAGAGTCAGTCAACTTACACTGAAATGATTTTATGGCTCTTGGCTTTTACTTTTTATGGAGTTTCTAAAGAAAATTTCCAACGCTATAGAACTGGTCAAGTAGCAATCACCAGCAGCTGGGAAAGCACAAATGAATTTACCAATAAAAACACACTTTCTTAATACAAAAGAACGTAGTATGTGGGGGCGCAAAACCTCTTGTTAAACTGATGAAAAGAGAAAAAAATAAATACTTACTTCCATGCTTATTTAGTTTAAATAATATTTAAATGTTTTGTTTTATTATAGTTTATTTTGTTATTATTATCATTCTGTTTTTTTTAGTTTGCTTTAATTCATTTCCTCTGTTTATTTATTTTATTTTGTTTTAAGTTTTTTTATATTATTTCGTTCATTTCAGTTTATTTTATGTTAATTTTTTTTTTTAATTTCTTTTTTTTAATTTTTTTTATTCTATTTTGTTAAATTTATTTTATTATATTTTTTAATTTTTTTATTTTATTTTATTTTGTTTTATTTTATTTATTTTTTTTTCAGTTAATTTAATTTTATTTATTTACTTAAACTTTTTAATTTAAATAAATTTTATTTAAGTTTATTTTACTTTGTTTGATTTATTTTATTTAATTTCTCCTTATTTTGTGTTGATTAATTTAAATTTGTATTTCAAATATCAGATAATTCAATTTAATTTAATTCGAATTTATTTAATTTAATTTAGTTTTATTTCAACATTTCGTCTTATTACGATTTTCGTATTTATTATTTTTTTTGGTTTCATATTATTTTTTTATTTTTTCTGTTTTATTTTAATTTATGTTGATTTATTTAATTTTGGTTAATTTTTGAATTTAATTTATTTTATTTTATGTATTAAATTTTTATTTTATTTAATTTTGTTATAATTTTAAATAGTTTATTTTATTTTATGTTTTTAATTTATATTTTATATTATTTAAATTTTTTAAATAATTTATTAAATATTATTTTACTTTATTTTATTATATTTAATTTTGTTTAGTTTTATTTATCTTATTTTACTTTATATTACTTTAATTAAATTTATTTATTTTATTTTTATTTATTTAATTTTGTCTTATTTAATTTTATTTTAATAAATTTTATTTTTATTAATTTATTTCAATTTTTTTTATTAAATTTTTTTATTTCATTTTCTTATCTGAGTTTTTTTAGTTTTATTTTATATTTTCTTATTTTGTGTTGATTTATTTAATTTTGTATATTCAATTTCAGAATGTGCATAAATAAATTCAAATATATTTATTTTAATTTAATTATATTTCATAAAATTTCATTTTATTTAATTTAATTTTTTTACTTTGTCGCAGTTTAATTTATATTATTTTAATGAAGTTAATTTTATTTTGTTTTTTTTTAAATTTTCTTATTTAATTTTATTTTTTTTATTTGTTTTTTGTTTATATCCATTTTTTATTTTATTGTTTTATCTTAATTTATAGTGATTTATTGAATTTTGATTTGAAAATTTGGTTTTATTTTAATTAATTTTTTTTCTTTTATTATATATATATTTTTATTTTATTTTGTTTTTTTTTTTAATTAATTTATTTTATTCTAATTTATTTTTTTTAATTTAATTTTTTTTATACCATTTTTTTATTTTATTTTTTTATATTGTTCTGTTTTAATTTAATTTAAGTTACTATATTTAATTTTTTTCTGTTTTATTTTATTACATTTTATTATACCTCATTTGATTTTTTATGCTTTATATTATTTCATTTTTTTATTCTTTTTTTATTTTTTTTTTTATTTTTTTTTTTAATTAATTTTATTTTATTTATCTTTTTTTAATTTTTTATTATATTTTATTATATTTTATTTTATATTATTTTATCTAATTTTTTTATTTCATTTTATTTTATTTTTTTATTAACCAGTTTGTATTTATTTTATTTTAATTAATTTTATTTTCTTTTGTTATCTTTGGTTTATTTTTTTGTAGTTAACTTGATTTGATTTTATTTTACATCATTATATTTTTTTATTTTATATTGTTTTATTTGATTTATTTACATATTATTAATTTGAGTTTGCAAGAATTTTATAACCTCTCTAGATTGACCATATATGAATAATGTTAATTCGTTTGAAATTTTCAAGTAAATACCAGTAACATTTAGTCAGTAAAAATTTTTTCAAAGCAAGCCAAAGTGTTTAAAATTTAAGGATAAATAAATTAACAACAAAAAATTGTGTTAACATTGTTTGTGGAGTTGAAAGCGTTTAATGTACTTTTACACTATTTGCATAAATTTATTTATTTTCTTTTTATTTAATTCTGTTTGTTGAAATACACGCGGGTTGCAGTTCCGTCGCGGTTGAATTGCTTTTCCAACCACGGCGCTTAATTAAGTTGTTATTTCTGGTTGCAGCCAGCATCATCTACATGTCCATATGTATGCATTTTGGCGCTCTGTAGCCGCTGAAACAATTTTCGGCCGAGTTCCTCCGCCAATTTGTGGCGTACTTCACAAATGGAAGGACCTACTGTATATTCTAAGTCGCCTCAGAAACACAAACAGGGAGGGCTTGACATTCCGAATCGAGAGGCGGCCGTAATTAGAAATTAATTTTGGTTGCTGTTGGTCGAACTGGCAGTCGAACCCTGGACTTTCGAATGGCAGTAAGCAACACCTCATCGACTATTGTGGCCGCCAATGTACTCGTATGCACGTTTGTATGCGTGTGATAATTTAAATATAAATTTGTGTATGTATATATGTAAATGTTTGTATGCAACCAATAGCTGCAATTGGTTTTTTGTTTCTTATTCGGTCACATTCTTGCAAGCATTTTTAGCGTGCTGTAATAAAGACGTGAATGTACATATGTATGTACACAAGAGCACGTGCATATACATATGCAAGATATGTATGTATGCGCAAAGGCAACACGTTTACTGATGGTAATTAAAATTAATTAAATTAATTAAATTAATTTTAATGAATTGCGCAGACGAGGCAAAGGTTGGTTGCTTGCAACGTCAGAAAAACTGTTGTTGCAGATGAGTCAAAAGGATAACCGGTAGGTGCTGCACCCACACTTACACCAGCGCACACACATAACATACATAACACAAAACAAGTAGGCTGTATTGTGAAGGAGTGCAGGAAGATGCTGAAGGAAGATCGCACACAGGCAGTTAAGTTGTGAAGTTTTAATGCGAATGCAACATTGACACAACAGCAGCAGCAAGAACAACAACGACAAAATCGTTATACGCACGAAATATATGTCAGTGTGTAATGTGCGAATATATATATATATATATAAATTTTTTTTTATTATTTTATTTTGTTTATATGGGTGCGGCTTTGTGCTTGCGGCTTTGCTTCGGTAAACTTGGGCGGTTTCTTTGTTCGGTGTCAGTGTGTCATCAACAGTGCCAGCAACAGCAGCGCCGGTATACGAGTGAGGCACAAGACAAAGGAGCTCTGAGTAGGTGACGCTTTATTTTGTTCTTTTGTTTGTCAGCCAGTCGTTGACATTCTGGTTGGTTGGCTGTCAACGCCAAAGTTGTCATTTATGTGGTTGCTTCTAGGAGTTTTTCTTCATTTTTCGCTTTTACCACCATTGACAATTTTCCTTTTTAATTATTTACTCTTTAGAGTTTTATGTATATCTTCTTCTAACCTGGATTTTGCTTATTGCCTAAAAGACAAACTAAATTGGATATTTAAACAACAAACTTTCAAAGAACAAAATTTATTTTTTTCAATATTTCGTTGTTTATATTTTCATGCTCTTTGCATTTGTAATTTTTAACTTTTATAAGCTCCTTGCTTCTCTGCATTTTGTTGAAATTCGTGACAAATGAGTATGCGTGTCTTATATCTTCCGATAATCGTCGAATCTGATCATCCTTCGAGTACTAAAGATTCCACGTTTTTGTGCCAAATTTTGTTCAGCGATGAGGTCCATTTTCGGTTCAATGGGTATGTTAACAAGCAAAATTGCCGTATTTAGGACGAAGAGCAACCTGTAGGGATTAAAGAGCTGCCATTTTATCCAGAAAGAACAAGGGATTGGTGTACGTTGTGGGTCGGTGGATTATAGGTCCATATTTCTTCAAAAAATAAGCCGGTGAGAAAGTAACCGCCAAGGGCTGTCGTTATCGCGACATGTTAACCAACCTGCCTGGCATTGAAGTTCGTTATCGCGGCTGAATTCGGTTTCAATAAGACGACGCGACACATCGTATCAATCACTGAATTTACTGAAAGAACACAACGGTGATCAAGCTCACATCGTTAGACTTTTTTCGATGGGAAAATGTAAAGTCTAAAGACTATGCGGACAATCACACTTCGATGCAGACCTTAGAGCAAACCATCACGGACAAAATTCTTCAGTTACCACTCGTTATGTTCGAACAAATCATCGAAAATTGGACTCTACGTAGCCGCGACCAACATTTGAAAAAGATAATGCCAGATGTAAAACAACATAGTCAACAACAACATCTTCGAAAAATAAATATATATTATATTGATCGTTAAACCATGTAGGGACCATAACTGTCAGTCTAACTCTTAGTAATTCACCGCAGGTACAGAGAAATTTGAAATGGTTTCACTTTGTTTTTTTTTATGGCTTGGGCTTTATCAACAGCTCTTTGTTTTAAATCTATTTATTGTCCATTGGAAAATTATTATTTTGCATTAGTGGTATTAGTTCGATAATTTCGTTTCAGAAATTACTTACCATTTTTATATTCCCACTCATTCAGTCAAACAATTTCGAAGGGAACAAGTCACGTTCAAGACCTAAAAATACAAGAAGAAAAGATACGATCAGTGATTTGCTTGTATATAAAAAACTTATGTAAATTGGGGAGAATTAAAGGTTTTTCAAAGATTGCTGAAGGTATGATGAATTGGTCCCCGAAGGGTATCGAGCTTACTATTTTAGGATATTGATACCGAAGAGATACTTGCGATACTGCAAGTTTTAGGTCTCTATCTTTTAACAATTCTAGAATTAAAAATCAGTAAAATTGATTTTTCCGCAGCGTTGTTGATAGATATTTTTTTTTTATTAAATATTAGCTGCATCGATTCATGAAATCCTTAAAAATTATTATTTTAAAAATTTTCCTAACTTTTATTATTAATCACGTTACGGCTGCAGACTTTTCTATTAAATCATTAGCTTTTGTATGTCCAATATATAAAAGGTATTAAAAATAAAAACTTTGAAAAGTCTTCATTTTAGAAGAAGAGTTACTAAACTTAATATCAATTTTACTTTCAATACTGCATATTCATACATTCATAAGTGAGGTAACATGTAGCATTTTCATTAATATCATAATCTACCAACATCAGTATTGAATTTATACCACAATAACCAAACTAATAATATATGTACATGTTCGAAGTACACCACTAACTTACGCAGTTGGCTCCAAGCAGTTTCAATCAGCTTTTAATTAATGTAAATTTAATTAATTATAGCACAGCATTTTTTAATAATCATACAATACGGTAAAGTTAATTGGCAATTTCTAGCCGATATTAAATAATCGTAACACATGTTTTCACATTTAATTCAAATTACATATCTACATTATTTGTACATATTTAAACAGGTGCATGCTCACTAAGCACACTGAATTTAATTTAATACGGTGTAGGAAATATATCATGGACAATTTGTACAACTAATAACAATGTTTTTTTTAAGACTATATTCTGATTAGTTTTATTTTATATTATTTTATTTTATTTTATTTTAATTTATTTTGTTAATTATTAATTGGTTTGTTGTATTTCAATTTAGTTCATTTTGAACTAATTTATTTTATGCGATATTTATTGTGTTTTGTTGCATGTTACCTTATTTTATTTTATAATATTTTATTTTATTTAATTCCATTTTATTTTATTTTTATTTTTTTTATATTATTTTATTTTATTTTATTTTATTTTTTTTTATTTTATTTTATTTATTCTTATTTCTCTATTTTCTTTTATTACCTCATATTTTATGTTTATAATATTTGACTTTATTTTTATTTAACTTAGTTTACATTAAATTTATTTAATATATGCCACATTATTGTGTTTTGTTGCATGTTATTTAATTCTATTTTTCATTCCATTTTTATTGAGCTATTGAAATTGCTTCAGTCTCAGAGTTATCTTTTTGTCTTCTGTTATTTACCAGTTGACTCTTGTGTCATCCATATGTCATTGACGCTGACATTGCTGACACATTTACTAACACTCACTTGCAATATGAACTCGCATTGTGCTGCACTGAAATATTGGAGAAGGCAAAATGTTGTGCTTTTGTTAAAAAAAGATTGCAATTCATTTTTTCACTTTCGCTTGAGGAATAGTTTGCTTTTTTACCGATATATGAAAGCATACATACATATATACTCACTAATACATATATACTCACCATAGATTTGTCCATGTATGCTCGTATAAAGCAGGACAAAAATTGTGCATTTGTTTGCTTTGCTTTCCTTACTGGCTGTGGCGCTTTGCTTGGCGCGCGCGTTCGTTCATCCAACAGAATTGTTTCAACAAAAAAATATATACAAATTGCATGAAATATTTGTTTAAATAAAAGAGCACGAAAATACTTATATCTGCATATATCTGCAATATGGCAATGTGTTTTGAAAGCTACATATTTATGTGCGTACACTTGTGTGTTTACATACATATTTACACATTTTTTCTTTGAAAAGAATGGAGAAAAGGACATACGTGGCATGGCTGTCACTATTATCACTGCAGTTGTCGCAATGTGTACACGTATGTTTTGTCATTTACTTCATATTTTATGCTGACAAAGCGACTTTCGCACGAGTAAAGTTATAAATAAATGACTCCAACTGACAGACACCGAAATTGGCATCAAAGGAAATAAATGTGCGTTAGTGAATTTTTGCGCAAAAAAAAAATCATACCGAAAAAACGTACAAACATACATATGTACAGTTTTATATTTAAAAAATTGTGATTCTTTGCCGTTTTCAAAATATTTGCCTTGTAAAGTGAACTTTCTAGCCACCAGCCTCTGAAATCAGTCTACAGTTTAGAAGAATTCTGAGTACTTTGGGTAACAGACTTTAACAACTTTTCACTCAGTTAAACATCAATAAAAATGCGGAATCGTTGGCTTGATATTTTGTGGTACCCAAAATCGAGCTTTAATCGCCTTTTATAGTAATAATTGCTACCTTACAAGGACTTGGTACTTCGATGCTTTGAAGATACAAAAAAAAAAAAATCATAATTATTTTACTGGCCTTTGTCAGATATTTTATCGAGAAAAATCGGGTCGTTGGGTGAAAATATTCAATCAACAGAATGCCAAAAGTCTAATCTGTCTGCCGACTGAATCATAAGTGAAATATATACAAAAGATGGTGATTTTCACAATCAAATTTTCTGAGAGAGCAAGAAAATGGTTCAGGGTGAAATGTCTGTCCAGATCATGTGTAAGGGAAACGTATGAGAGAACACATCCACTTTCTATTCTCGCGGTTTCAAGAGCAGAGTTCCAACTGAAGTGAAGTGGACGTGCACAAAGTGCTCATGTTCTAGAATCTTTGCATTCTAAGGGACTGAAAGAAATCTCAAAATTGAATATCAATACACTCATACCCTCATATACTTCGTAAACTACTTAACCTCCGTCTGATACCACAAAGAACCAGCAGGTTTGATATATTTCACGCAAGGCATAGCAGCCAGCCGTCGTAACTCTGCCCAGCCTTTGTAGAGAGTTAATACTTGTGTTTAAATTAATTTTCCATAGTGATTGCAAATGGTGTGTACTCAAAAGTCTTTGATCACAAATAAATTAAAATAGAGAATCGAAAATTTGAAATTTTTCTCAAATTGAATACAAAAAAATTGTATTAGGTCCCACTCTTTTTTTTCGATTTGTTATTTTATGGCGAAGTTTTAAGCCAGGTCACCATGATACAGTTATTTAAAGCTAGTTTCATTATCTCTTCGCAGTTGGCTTCATGACTATCTAATTTTAAACGTGTTTCGTCTTTTTTGTGCTACCTTCTTCTCTTAAAAGAAAAATCTACCATTTTTAAATAAAAAATATATGGAGAAATTTCATTTTTACTTTTTCCAAAATCACTTAATATATTGTATTTTCCAACCACTGATAGTGGACTTCATCGAGTGTTTGTAAGCAAGAATCAGAAAGAGAATATATTGACCCACAAAAGTTTAAATCAATTCAAGATGATGAGAAGTTGGCTGGATTTGCTGTTCTACTTTTGAATAAAAATCAGTCTCACAGTTTAAAAGTTGTTTCAAGGAAATATTGTATACAAATGAGTGTTTGTTTTAATAATTGTTGGTTGTTTAGAGCAATGCAAATTCATTATAAATTTTACATATTTATGCTAAAAGTCGTTACGGTCGATTAAACATTCCAAACACTTTTGAATTCAATCCAACCGCTAAATACATTGATATTTAGACAGTTAAGCTAAAAGTTTTGCTCGATCACGGCATCCTGATGATACCTACATATGTTGGTTTTATGAATTAGATACCTTTCACTTTGCCAGATTTTCAAACCACTGGTGTATTTAACGAAGTTCAGGAGATTAATGATGCCTAAAAGATAATTCCGAGAATCGATAACGAACCGCAGAGTTTATCGACTTTATAACTATCCCTATCTCTCCCTCTTCAGCTCAGCGATACCGTAGTTCTTTGGGTTTGCTTTTGACGAGGGACCCAAGCCCCAGACGATTCGCATATACTTAAGAAAACTAATAAGCCTATGTTTCGAAAAATAAGCAAAAAGCCAAAAAATATCAATTTTTTCAATTTTAATTTTGCCGCCTAAGAAAAACGGCTTGAAAAAAATATTTTTAAAGATCCATACGTGCATTCGATATTATATTTAGTATCTGCTTAGAAAATAACACAAAAAATAATTAAAAGGTCTTTCAGTTCAAAATTGTGTAAGTGGCAAGAGCGACTTAAAATATCTTATATTTTCTTATAATATAAAAAAAATAAACATTAGCTTCTCCCCTAAGTTCGGAGTTATCTTAGAACCGCCACTAGGCGGGCGTATGAAAGCAATGTTTCAATGCAGACTATAAGGAAGCTTTAGCATTGGCACATCATTCGCCATCTTCTGCACGGAAAATAGAGTGATTTTTATTTCTATAAGTTTTAACTGATCTAAAGTGTAAGCAACTTCATGCATAAATATTTAAACAATTGAAATTAAAGAAAATAAATGAAAAAGAAAATTAAATAAAAAATCACTGTCTGTCTAAAGAAAATTTCGCTTTTGTCAACGATTGTTCTGTTCCTAAAAACAAAAAAGGGTCTTCCAGACAGTTTATTTATTTAATTCATTGATTATGCCGTTAACAATAGAACAGATGTTCACCCAGAAGTCTCTGCTCGACTATATAACGACGATTGATTTAACCAACAGATGTCAGTCGAGTTCCATATACACAGACAAATAGTAAAGAGTTCAACAAATTGGTAGAATCATGCCAAGGTTTTTATTTACACTCCGTAAGTTTTAGCCCTACTCTAAAAAATACTTTACACGAGTAAACCATTTATTCTTTTTACAGTTTTCGGCGCTACGATTTTAGTCGCCATATGTATGGTGGCACAAGCACAGCCTGATCCAACTGTGGCAGGATCTAGACCAACTAGAAGACCAACACCACCGACTAGGAGACCCTCATGGCCAACAAGGAGACCAACTCCACCGACTAGAAGACCCGACCTACCGACTCGAAGGCCTACACCACCGACTAGGAGACCCTCATGGCCAACCAGGAGACCAATACCACCAACTAGAAGACCATTGCCCACCAGCAGGCCAACTACACCTTCTCCACTGGAAAGACCTGCAAGATCCGTAACCACTGTAAGACCATGCCCTCGCTTACCAGAAAAATGTAGCAGTGCTGGTCCATCATTATGTGTTCGTAGTCGAAATGGTAAATTATGTCGTCGGGTAGCTAATCAGTGCGCTTTACGCAACCTCAACTGTCAATCTAAGCCTCGTAATAGTGAGTTTAAAGCGATCAATTTATTTTCTTTTTCTCGAATTCGACTAATTTTATTATTATTGTGTTCATTACAGATTGGTCCGTCAGTAAATTGAAGGGTTGCTGCAAGCTCAAGGTTGGTCAACGACCTGTCAAATGCAAGGATCTATAAGAAAGTGAAATATGGATAAATACAATTGACTGAAAACTTTTGAAACATCTAATTTTAAAAACTATTTCGAAAACAATATTAAAATGAATGAAATAAATTTGAAAATAATAAATTTGGAATGTAAAAATACAGCAGAATTTATTTCAGTTGTCTAGTTGGTAAAATCGGTTAATGCAAGAAAGAGTTTTCTGAGGCTCTCGATAAACCTCAAAATTATATCTCTGTTTCTTAGAAAAGAAAAAGAGAAAGAATTTAAAATAATTGAGGCTGAGATCTCAACAGATTTGCTTCCAGTGACTGTTGGCTGATGGATCCAATCGGCTTCAGCTCTGTGGTATGTTGTAGTAATCCAGTTGCCTGGGATTAAATCCAAGCGGCTTAAGAACAGCTGAGTGACTCACGTTTGGAGTTCTTTAGCATAAGTAATTCTGCGAAAACTCTATAAAATGAGATAGATTTGACTATAAACCTATAGATCAAACTTCCTATCATCCGTAAGAGATATAAAACTACCCATGCTTTCTTCTTGCTCTGCTCGATGTTTGCCTTCCAGGAGAGTTTCCTATGTAGGATTGGTTTTATACTAAATTTTCTCTGACAAAAGAAGGCAAACACACCCTATCGAAAACGAAACTGCTAGCAGGATACTATATCTTTTCGTAAATAAGACAATTTTTGCTTTACTGAGATCTCTCTGGCCGCCCAACCAACTTGCTAGCCCAATAAAAAGATATTATCCAAGGTTTTCATCTGCAGCAACCACCTACTACAAAATCACATGGTGATATATCTGAGGAATATGGAGCTGGACGTATTTATACGTTCCTAGAAATCGCAATCAAATTACTCCTTATTTCAGTATTGCGCGTTGTAAGGATGTAAAAAGTAGCGCCGCAAATCCACTTTCTTTCTGTTTTCCAACTCTTCTGTGTATCATTTTGCAGTTACCGTCTGACATTTTTCCAATGCAGGAGCAGCTACGACTTTAGATGGAGTTAAGTAAATTGGCAACATCACTTTTGCTGCTCATTTTTGTTGCTTAGATTTTACGGTTGTGTTTGCTCCTATTGGACTCCATACCATGGGATGCTGTTTGGTTTTTGGATCGTACTTGTAGCACCAACATTTGTCACTAGTAATGACTTAACTAAAATTGCTAGACTGACCATTATCGAATATATTTAGGAAAAATTGAGCAAAATGCACTCGAGCCGCTTTTTGGGTCTCATATAAAATTCGTGTCAAACGTGGTACTTTACCAAAGCTACAGTGACGTCATCAGTGGAAGAATTTGGTCGACTTTCTCGGCGCTCGTCCTCTACGGAAAAGTGTCTGGTCTGAAATTTTTGGAACCTTTTAGAAATAGTTCTTAAAGATGGTGGAAATGTTTCAAATGGAATTTGGCATTCACTGAATTTTTGTATTGGCTGTAAATTACACCGAAACCCGAAGAGAATCACATGGCGCATTTCTGTTTGCGTTGTTGGTGGAATTGCTTCTGACCTATCCTCAGCCGTCATGCGTTTCCTCGTCTCCATTTTAGTCGAGCGATTTAAAATTTGAAAGGAGCGCCGAACTTTTGTTAAGCCCCTCGTATATTCGAAAGCAAATAGACCAAAAGAGGAAATTGAAATATGTTAGCAATAAATTATTAATATTAATTTAATTTTAAATGATAAATACTAAGTTTTATTAACTTTTCACCAAAGCGGCTTGCATGCGTAATAATTCTTTCGTATTTACTCCATTATGTAATCCACTGTAGGTACTTCTTGGAGTATCTTTGTAGAGTAGTTTCATTACTTATGCTATGCAGTAGTGGTGTAGTCGTGTGTGCTCCAGCCCTTAGTCATCACAATGTTAATTGGACCGTATTTTTTGTATGTTCTATGATTAGTTTTGGAGTATATATATCACGCGTGCATGGAGTAGTAGCTTTGTTTGCTGGGCATTCACATAGATACCCCCTTCTGTGTAACCCTTTTGCTCGCACCCATTTCAATTCAAAGAATGATTATTTTTATTTGACACGAAATAACCTCATAAATTATACCAACTTCGGGAAACTTCAAAATTGCCAGTGACACTTCATCATTAAGTTGAACAAAAAGGGAAAAAAAAAATAAACTGACAAAATAATTTCAATAAAGGCTTTATTAGGCACTTTGCGAAGACACTGCTGGAGCAGAAATTGTCATATCTACTGAATATATGAGTTTGTGTATATGTAGTATGTATGTATGTACAGAAAGAAAGTAAATGTATAGAAGCGAAATGATAATAAATAGTTAAAAGCCATTCATAATACATATATCATTATAAGTGTCAACTGTCACTTAGCATATCCTTTCATATCTTTCTCGAATATACATATGTATGTATGTATGTCGTTGACATCCACTGTGGTGTCTGCCACAAGCAGACAACGGTCGAACTGTGACAATGTTACAATTCACACACTTTCGGTATACATATGTATGTATGCCATTGTATGTGTGTATGTATGTATATATGCTGTATCTGTTCGCCACACGCTTGTTTGTGGTTTCCTATCGCAGCGTCAATTTATTGATGAGCCACTTTCCGAGAAGGTCAAGCAGATATTTGAAAATTTATGCTAACATTAACATGGTATGCCATACCAATCAACCAAATGGCACATACACAAACACACACACGCAAGCACACACACGCGTGCACACACTTAAAACAATGTTTGCTGAAGTTTATGAGTCCAAGCACCCGCATGATGCACCGCATTGGATCTTGGCGTGTGGTTGCACACTTGAAGTCGCCAATTGATCACATGCGCCGCATTCAAAACAATGATGACTCATTTCGTGGGCGCTCATGGCCTAAGGAAAGGAAATATACAAACAAACAAATAAATGCATGCATACATATTGTACGTACGAGCATATGCGAGTATGTTGCATGTTTGCTCATATTCGAAGAGAGTTTTCGTTTGAGTTATTTTACCAAAAACACTGTGCGCAGATTATATTCTTCTTCTTACTTATATATTTATGTATATATATACAAATGTATATGCAATGACAATCTTACATGGATTTCAGTTCTGTGCACCACAATGTAGGTATGTATAATGCGCTCCAAGCCTCCCTAGCATTACTTCTGTTATAAAAAAAAGTCTTTATACCCTTCATGATCTGCGGCTAACCTAATTTTACGCTTAAAAATGTTATAAAACAACGAAATATGTCGAGATGTATGCCCCGGTATAGAATTGATCGATCGGAGGTATTTTTTCCGTTTCGTCTTTTTTGCTTTCTTATGTCTTTCGACCGCTCCAAGTATATTGAAGTCCCTCTCCACTTGATATTTTAAGCAATTATGAGTTTTTACTCTTCTTCAGCCTCCCCTAGAACATAGTCCACGGATTTTTCTCATAGGTCATGGAGTAAAGCGAGTCCCATTAGTTTCTTTTTTGTGTTTATTTGTCCTTGGAGGCATTTATGATTCAAATTTTTACACTGACTGAAGTTTCTCTCGTTTGAAGGAATGCTTCTGCGTTAGACTTCAAGATTCTAAGAAAGACAAAATTTTCTATAACAAAAAAAAAATTACAGATTTATGATGATCAAAATCGAGTTCTCTGACTGTTTGCTTGATGACAGAAGATATTGCGACGTATATATAATATATGTATATATATATACCACTGAAGAGATTTTCGGCCGAGCCTCTCTTTCAATTTGTCGTATGCGTCTTAGTGTTTTACTCAAATGGGGAGACTCATGGTTCATGCTAAGCCGCCTCCGAACGGCCGATGGTTTTTTTTAACTTTTCATGAGGAGCCTTTTTTCGTGTCATAAATACACTCAGAGGGGTGGACAATCCCTGCCGAGGGACGACGGCAATTAGAAAATTAAACTCAACTTTTTATTTAATATTAATTTTTGTAGACTCCTGAGGGGCAGTATACCAGCCACTCCGCTATGGATTCCATCGATATTGTAACCTAACCATGTTCCTTAATTACTCTAGATTTTGGTTGTTGATACCAGTGAGATCGATATTAGAATATGTCAACGTCTTTTTCTTTCTACAGTTTTTCTGATACCTTGATTTGATTGCAGAGCACGATTCGAGATGCGACATGGGTAAAATCGAAAAAATGAGTACTGTATATTGGTCTTGGTATCAGCAATTTAGCAAGACCTAAGCCATAGTTCCATGACAGTAGGCTTCAATTGTACTAACACAGCTGAAAAGCTTAATTTCACAAAAATTGGCAAATTATCTAACAGATCAGTACCTTGGTTTCGAAACCTTCACTTAGGAGCCTGAGCTTCTCATGTATTTTTCACCCATTTTAAATCTCTTCGTCGGTCTCTTCTTCGACTATACGCAGAGTGTATTTTGGAATGACATTTGCATAACAGCGCGAATTGAGTAGACATTTGTATCATAGAACGCTCGTCAACAAATGCAAGAAAGTTTTCTACTCGACTTGTACGTCTGCTTTGTGAAACGACATCTCAAATTCCCTGCATACCGCTGCTAGGGAAACAATTGATTTTCTTTGAACCCTGCGAAAGAACTGCTTCAATGAGCAATGTTGAACAGCAAAAGAGAGAAATTTGACTGCCTATCTCGCAAAGTTGCGGTCGGCAACACCACCTGCGGGGTAGGTTTTATACCGAGAGCTGAAGAGAGAAGCAAGAAGCGTTTGAAGGAAAAATAAATACTAAAGGGACCGACCTCCTTTCAGTAGCTGGCGAACAACTGTAATGTTTGAAAAATCGACGAAAAAATACGTCAAATTAAAGAAGGTTTCAAGACCGGAGCAAACTAATGTAGGATTCAGAGAAGTGATCTAGTTACTGATACCTAGAGTATATTCTATACACAGAGGGAACACTGCTCCAGCCTGCGGAATGGCAGTCAAAATGCAAAACTCGGAGCTGATGAACCTGAAACTTCAATCGATTACTATGGAAAAGACTTTCTTGGTCCGATTATGATGAGGTTCGTATAGCGATTGCCCGTTTAAGCAACAACAAAGCGGCAGG